AACTAACAAACTTCTTGTTTAAAAGTAAAAAAGATTTTCATTTTGATGAATAGTGACTTAAGGAAATGGGCAATGTCAAGCATAGGTTATGTAAATGTGATGTAAACACAATTCTTTTGGATTTTCTGTTCTTTGCAATTAAAGGCAATTCTATTATTTGCCATTTAAGTCAGCAATACCAGTTATCACTATATATATATATATAATTTTACCCCCATAAATGGCATATGTTGTCTATACATATATATCTCTTTGTTTTTTGTCTTTGACAAGAAAATAATTAAGACTTTGCTTTGGTTTCCTTAAAATCAGTAGAACTTATATAGCATTTTATTTGTGTTGAAGGGGTGTGGGATAGACCAGTGCTTGGAAAACTTTAGTTTGCTTAAAAGTAACCTGAATAGTTTATTTGAATACAGATTCCTGTGCCCCACTGCCAGCGTTTCTGATTCAGTAGGCCTAGGTGGCTTGAAAATTTATATTTCTAAGAAATTCTCAGGTGTTGCTGATTCTGTCACATGGTGGCCCTAACTCTGAGAAACACTGGACTAGACAACGTAGTAGAATCAGCCATGAAACACAGGAAGGGAAATAGAGAGGTGGAATAGAGAAAGATTATAGCATCTACTTGTCATGGGTTGAATCATAGCCCCCAAAAGATATGTCCTCCAGGAACCTCAGAATGTGACTTTATTTGAAATAAGGATCCTTGTGATATAATTGAGGTAAGGATTTCAAGATGAGATCGTTCTGGATTAAGTGGGTCCTAAATCCTATGATGGATGTTTTTATAAGAGACAGACTTCTGTCCTACAAACTGAAAGATAATGTCTTGTGCTTTACAAAGTTTGTGGTAATTTGTTATGAGCCTTGGGAAACTAATACACTACCAAAGTACCAAGTTCCCTGTCTTGTGCTCTAAGGAAAAAAGGATAGAATCCTGACACTGACCCAGGGGACTAGCATAATAGGTTAAACAATGTATGAATATTATCTAATTGCCAAGCACTGTTGGTACTTTTTGGCATGTTATTTAACCTAATTTCCCCTCAAATGCTTCGAGGTAGGTTTTTTGTTATTGTTATTGTTATTAGCATTATTTAACCAAAGAAGACCCTGAAAATGCAGAATGGTCATTAATCAGAAAATATTTATTAAGTGTCTATATCAGGCTCTTGCTAGATATTAGATTGACTTAGCAAAAGTGATACAGGCAGTGTCAGAGTTAGCATTCGGATTGTGACCCTGTCAGTCCAAATCTGGCACGTTCCTCCCCCACACTACACTCTGTCAAAGGCTTGGAGCAGGAAAGCACAGGGCATTTTGTCAAATACTGACTAGTTCATTTTGGCTGCTATGGAATATTTAACAAAATTGAAAAGGAACTTTTATCGCCAATACAAATCTTTCTTATTTATGGGTAACTGTTTAACAGTATTTCTTTCTATTAATACTTACAAAGTATTTTGCACCTTGTTACCTTAATCTTATTTTTTATTGTAGTAACCCTTTCACTTTGTACTCAAATATGCAGATAATTTAAGCTAAGCTTAAATAACAAGATGGAAGTAATAGCTTTACATCGTCTTTGGAGATATAGGTCAATGATTTAGACAATATCTCTTTTCTCTATGCTCTTTAAATATGTATCATATGTTATGATGATGCTAAAAACTTAATGTTCTTGTTCATATATATTATATTATATTTTCCAGTCCTGGAAAAAACATTTAAATATTTCCTTGAGGTTGAAGATCATAAAAAGAAGTACACTTACTTCAGTCTTTAGCATCATCACAATATGAATTATTTGAGTGTTTAATACAAACTTCCCTTGAATGATTATTAAGTTATTTAAGCTGTTTAATAATGCTCTGAGAATTATTAAATTCAGCCTTCATCTAATTATAGTTAATGTTTTTGAATGTACAATGTGAATGTCACTCTGCTAGCTGCTAAACATACAGTAAATTAAAAAAATTGTTCCTACCTTTGCAGTTTAGATGCTTGATTCAAGATCAGTAAAATCAAGATCAGTGAAATTGTGAAAGAATTTGACAAAAATGGGCTAAGAAAATTCTCACTTTAGCAAGTTAAAATGAAAAGACAATAAAAGAAGCTAACATATTGAGGCGAAAGTTGCACTGAGCACAGACTTAGAAGCTGAGGGTAAATTGCAAGAATTTGTTAAATGCCTAAGGCACCAGCAATGGCAGTGCAGAATGGACTGTAACATTTACACCATTTTTTCCTCGTGCTGATATTTGTCTTTATTCTATCTTTCTCCCAACATTTATTCATGAATTTATTCCACAGACACTTCATGTGCACCTACAGTATGCAAGGTACAGCATGGAGACAAAGTGTATTACCCAGTCAGAAGATAAATCTTGTATATAGATCATTAAAATGTGAGACAGTAACCCTGATCTAAATGACATAGGTCGTAACTCTTATTACAGGAAGGTTCATGGGAAAATGTGAATTCTTCTATATCTACAAATTGATTATAAATTTATTCAGCTATCTTGGGGTTTGATTTCTTGTTTTACTGTGTTTTCAGTGAATGTGGTCTGAAAGAGATTATTTTAATATTTTTGAGACTTTGTCACCCTGTAGCTGGTCAAATTTGTAAATGTTTTAAGCTTGAAAACAATACATATTCTTTAATTACTCACTGCCTGATTCTTTATGTGTATATTAGATTAAACTTACTATTTGTTTTGTTTAACTCTCCTATTTCTTTGCTGATTTGTGTTTACTCTATAATTTTTTTATGACAAGTAAGTTAAAGTATCCCATTTTAACTGTATATTCATCTGTTTCTACTTTTAATTATTTTTCTTTGTATATTTTAAGGCTAAGATTTTAGGTATATACAGGTTCAGGACTATTATATGTTCTGGGTGGATTTTTTTCCAGCATTGAGTAATAACCCTTTTATTTCTGATTATTGTTTTTGCCTTAAAATCTGCTTTTTTTCTTTCCTAACACAGCAGTATTGCTACATTGGTTTCCTTTTGTAAATAATTTTTTTTAAATCCTCACCCAAGGATACCTTTCCATTGATCTTTGTAGACACAGTGGGAGGGAGGAAGGAAGAGAGCGACAGAAACATTGATATGAGAGAGACACATCAATTGGCTGCCTCCTGCATGACTAGGGCTGGGGATCAAACCTGCAACCAAGGTACTCTCCCTTGACCGGAATCGAACCCACGATTCTTTGGTCCAAGGGCCAACTCTTTTTTTTTTTTTTTTATCCTCACCTGAGGACATTTTTCCACCTTTTGTACAGATAGAGTGGGAGGGAGAGAGAGAGAGAGAGAAACATCGACGTGAAAGGGACACATCAAGTGGCTGCCACCCGCACGACCAACCAGGGCCGGGGACAAACTGCAACCGAAGTACGTGCCCTTAGCGGGAACCGAACCCGGGTCTCTCCGTACCGCAGGCCGACTTTCTAACCGCTGAGCCAAACCGGCCAGGGCAAGGGCCAACTCTTTAACTACTGAGTCAAACTGGTCAGGGCTTTTTGTTAATAATTATTGATACAGTGTATTCTGTCTCCTAACTTTCAATTTTTTAATGTCACTAAGTTTTTAAAAATTACACTTTTGTTGAAATATAACATATTCGGTCTTTTATTTTATTTTTTTTAATTTTTTTTTCATCCTCACCTGAGGAGATTTTTCCATTTTTTTGTACAGATAGAGTGGGAGGGAGAGAGAGGAAGAGAGAGAGAGGGAAACATCGATGTGAAAGGGACACATCGAGTGGCCGCCACCCACACGACCAACCAGGGCCGGGGACAAACTGCAACCGAGGTACATGCCCCTAGCGGGAACCGAACCCGGGTCTCTCCGGACCGCAGGCGGACGCTCCAACTGCTGAGCCAAACCGGCCAGGGCTATATTCGGTCTTTTAAAGTGTACGATTTAGTGGATTTTAGTATATTTACAGTTGTGTAACCAATATCACGATCTAATTTTAGAACATGTTTTCATCACCCTAGAAGGAAAAAAAAATACCCATTAGCAGTCAGTGCCCATTTCTCACCTCCCAGACCCCCTGGCAACCACTAATCTACTTCTGTCTCTGTGTGCCTTTTCAGGGGGTGTCAGACAAAGGGAATCATACAGGAAGCCTTTTGTTTCTGACATTCTGACCTTTCATTTAGCATAATGGTTTCAAGATTCATTCATGTTGTAGTATGGGTCTTTACTTCATTGTTTTTAAAGACTGAATAATATTCCATTAAATGGCTATACCAGATATTACCTCTCTACTGATGGACATTTGGGTTGTTTCTACTTTCGGGCTATTATGAATAATGCTATTATGAATGTTCATGTATAATTTCTGTGTGGACACGTTTTCATTTCTCTTGGGTATATACCTAGCAGTGGAATTGCTGGATCATAGAGTAACTCTACATGTAACATTTTAAGGAACTGTTAAACTGTATTCCAAAGTAGCTCCACCATTTCATGTTCTCAGCAATGTATGAAGGTTCTAATGTCTCCACATTCTTCATTGTGTCTTTGCTTAGTCATTAAAACCCCCATCCCAAGTCCTTGTGGTCCTATCCTGGTATAGATTCCTTGTGGGCCTTCACCATGTCAGTTCCCACCAGTGTAGGTTTGCTTTCCTGATGTTTCTAGCACATTAATATTTATTTTTCTTTCTTTAGTGGTCATGTATGTACTAAAACTTAAGAGTTGTTTTACTTAATATTTTTATGTATATGTGAAGGTGATGAACCTGGATGTAGGGGATAGGTATTCACTTGAATCAGTCTACCATTCCTGGAAGCTGAGACGATCAATGCAGTTGCAGGGACTATGAAGTGGTTGACTCAGTTACTGGTGTCGTTTAGGGCTGTGGTCCAGAGGGTTTCTTCTGGGCTAAATTACTGGGCTTATCTAGGACGCACTGTTATACTGAGCTCATCCAGTCCCATATGAACTATCTCTTCTTTTTGTTGTTGTTATTTTACAGATGCCATTTTCCAAAAATAATACCGAAAAGAAAAAGCCCAAATTCAGAAAAAGGAAAAGGTATTATTTTTTTAATTAAAAAGTATTATGATAAAATTAAAATATACATTAGATTTACTTATTATATCACATTTCCCCCTTACTCTTGATTCTGTTTCTCTGGGGAAGCAATTGTGTTTAAAATTTTCTGAAAGAATTGATAAAATGATAAGTAGTAATCTTAGAAGAATGGAGAAAGTTTGATGTTTATACAAATAACGTTGAACCAGAACTTTCAAAGATTACTGTGATATGAGCAACCAAGATGAGAAGCAGATTTTGAGTTTAAAATAGGGAATGGGGACTTCCGGTCAAGATGGTGGGTAGGTAAACGCTCTCCTCCCACAACCACATCAAAGTTACAACTAAACTACAGAACAACCATCATTCAAAACCGCCTGAAATCGACCTGAATGGAAGTCCTACAACTACGGGATTAAAGCAGCAGCCACATCCAGACTGGTAGGAGGGGCGGCAGCACGAGGGGCTGGTCCCACACCCACGTGTGGCGGATAAAAATCAGTAGGACACCTCGGCTGGGAAGGTCCTTCCTGAGGACTGAGGGATCCCCACACTAGGTGCCCCGCTCAGGGTTCCAGTGCCAGGAAGAGAATCCCCATAACTTCTGGCTGGAAAAACCAGCGGGAACTGAGGCTCAGGGAAGCTGAGGCGGCTGGAGCCCCAGGCAGCTCCTTAAAGGACCCACACACTATCGGACTCTCTCCCTCTAAGCTTGGAGGGGAGGCAGCTCCAGGGGCACCAGAGACATACAGGGAAGAACTGAGCTGTTTGGCACTGGAGCGAGGGCTGGAGAGGGGCCTTTCTCCGGGACAAACGTGCTGAAAGAGGCCTTTGTTCCTTTGGTGAGCCCTTCCCTGGGGTGGCAGAAAGTCGCCATATCTGGGACTCCAGCAACCTGGCTCATACTGATAGCCCCGCCCTGGTGACTCCCTGAGGCCCTGCCCCACCCCACCCAACTTTCAAGCCCACCCAAGCTGTTGCCACTTGCTTAACCATAGGAATGGCCTGTCTTGGATCCTGCTTCAGGTTTTTTCTAAATTCTTTCAAACAAGCAGCATCTGGTCTCAGCGAGCCCCATACCTCTCATTAAGTAATACACAGAAACAAACACAGGGAGGCAGCCAAAATGAGGAGACAAAGAAGCAGGTCCCAAATGAAAGAACAGAACAAAACCCCAAGAAAAGAACTAAGCGAAATGGAGATAAGCAACCTAACCGATGCTGAATTCAAAATACTGCTTATAAGGATGCTCAATGAACTCAGTGAGAACCTCAGTGAACTTAGGGAGGGCATCAAGAGCATAAAAAAGGACCAGTCAGAAATCATGGATGCACAGATAAAATTGAAGGAGGCATTAACTGAAATAAAGAATTTACACAGCTTCAATAATAGAGTACGTAAATCCAAGGAACAAACCATCGAATTTGGAATATAAGGAAGCAAAAAATGCCCAATCAGAACAGCAAAAAGAAAAAAGAATCCAAAAAAATAAGGATAGTGTAAGGAGCCTCTGGGACAACTTCAAGCGTGCCAACATTCACATCTTGGGGGTGCCGGAAGGAGAAGAGAGACAACAAGAAATCAAAAACCTGTTTGAAACATTAATGGCAGAAACTTTCCTAACTTGGTGAAGGAAACAGACATACAAGTCCAGGAAGCACAGACAGTCCCAAACAAGATGAACCCCAAGAGGCCCACACCAAAACACATCATCATCAAAATGCAAAAGGTTCAGGACAAAGAGAGAATCTTAAAAGCAGCAAGAGAAAGGCAGCTAGTTACCTACAAGGGAGTTCCCATTAGGCTGTCAGCTGATTTCTCAAAAGAAACTTTGCAGGCCAGAAAGGAGTGGCAAGAAATATTCAGAGTGATGAAAAGCAAGAACCTACAACCAAGATTACTCTATCCTGCAAAGCTGTCATTTAGAATTGATAGCCATATAAAAACTTTCCCAGACAAGAAAAAGTTAAAAGAGTTCATCACCACCAAACCGTTATTATATGAAATGATGAAGGGTTTTTTTGAAGAAAAAGATAAAATATATGAACAAACAAAATGGCAATGAATACATATCTATCGACAAAGGAATCTACAAACAAAATGAACAGGCAGAACAGAAGCATTCTCATAGATACAGAGAACATTTTGTTGGTTGCCAGTTGGGAGGGGGTTTTGGGGAATGGGTGAAAAAGGTGAAGAGATTAAGAAGTACAAATTCATTGCTAGACTGACAAACCTCAAAGGGAAAGGGGTTGGGAGGTGGGAAGAAATAAACCAAAGAACTTATATGCATAACCAATGGACACAGACAATAGTGTGGGAAAAGGTGGGAGGGGGGCGGGAGTGGGGAGGAGGGGGTCAATGGGGGAAAAATGTGGAACATCTGTAATACATTTTACATCCAATAATAAATATTTAAAAAATAATAATAAAATAAAATAAAATAGGTAATGGGAACCAGAAACAGGCTTTTATAATGAACTAATAAGTCCCTGCTGATAAGTTTTTGTTTATCATTGAACCAGCCATTCAGTTTATTTATTTATTTATTTTCTTCTTTTAAAATTTATCTTCATTATTGGATGTATTACTAGATGTCCCTCCCTTTTTCCCCCATTGACCCCTTTCTCCCCACTCCTGCCCCCCTCTTGCCTTCCCCACACTATTGTCTATGTCCATTGCTTATGCATATATGCATATAAGTTCTTTGGTTTCTTTCTTCTCACCCCACCTCCCTTCTTCCCTTTGAGGTTCCTCAGTCTAACAATCAATTTGTACTTCTTAATCCCTTCACCTTTTTCACCCATTCCCCTGCAGGGTAGTCAATACTGTGTTAAAAGAGAGGCCTACTCAAAGACAAAGACTAGCTCTAATATGATAGTCCTTCTTCTTTGTCCTTTCTCAGAAGATGAATAATTAAATTTTTAAAAAGGACTTTAACAGCCTTATCTCACTTACACTTCCCAGTGACCCCATCAAAATAGGTTGGGGGGGGGGGTGTCATAATTATCTTTATTTGAAAGGTGAAGAACTTTGGCTTAGAGAAGCTAAGTGGCTCTCTCAAGATCTTATGGTTAGAGAAAATGCGTTTGGACAAATGTTTTCTGACTCTTAATCAGCAACATCGTGTAGTGGAAAAGCATGGCTTTGCTGTGGGACAGAACTTAGTGCATCATGCTCACCCACTCTCCAATGCTGTCAAGTTCTCAGCTTCTCAGAGCCACGGTTTCTTTACAGAATGGGAGTGACAATTAGTAGGTTTCTTGGGGAAGGATTACATGGAAAAGCTTATGTAAGGTGCTTGGTAGATCATTAGTGCTTTTCAACTAGTGAGAGCTCAAATCAATACTATTCCCCTTTGGTTTTTCACTGTATCATGCTGCCTTACAGTATAGAACAACCAAGAAAAAGTACTTCAAGATAAATATATATTCATAATTTATAATTACCAATGCATATACATGAATGGTCATTTAAATATACATGATTGATCATTTGAAACTAAAGCTGTCACATTCTTTTTCTAGGAAAGCTATTTTAAAATGCTCTTTTGAAAGTGTTTGTTCAGATGATGCCTTATCAAAGGAAAACATGGGTATGTGCAGACCTGTCCTGCTTTTAGCTCTTTTACCTCTGTTTAATTCTACCAAATGTACTTGTAGTCCTTTGAAGAAACACAATGTTGTACATATGTGTGTGTGTGTGTGTGTGTGTGTGTGTGTATATAATATATATATCAGGAATATTAGTGGATTGTTTTTGGTATTGATTTACATTCTAGGGCTTTTCAACTGTCTTTACATTTCTATTCCCTTGAATTAATTTTCTCTGATTTTAGCATATTTTTAATTTAAAAAAATAAAAAATAAAGCACCAGCAGTTGTGGGAAGAAATATCAGCATCGATACATTTTAATCCAGACCTCTCCATTCCAAATTTATTGGGATCCTAGGAGCACCAAAGGGAGAGTAGGAATAAAACCAGCAGTCTGGGGCCTCTAGCTGAATTACCGTTGGTATTAGAACACAGTAGGTAAATGTGAAATGCAGGGAGAAAGTTTTAGTTCAACAGTGCTTCACGTGAACCTTTGTACATTTTCCTGAGGCTTGAAAAGCAGGTGAATGCTTATTTGCAAGATGGAACTTTGGCAGCCATGCAAAGAGGTTTCAAAGCACATGAAACCCCAAGAAGTTTTTCATGCAATACTTTCCCTTGTAGTCACCCCCAGATCCTATGACACTGTGTTCCAATGGGCTGAATAGTCATTTATTTATAGTCTCATTAAAAGAAAGAAAAACAGGGAGAAGAAGGTTGGGGTAGTTATTATTATTTTTAATCCTTTGTTCCTTTCCCAAACCACTACAAAACTTCTATTGTTTCTATCGCTTCTTATTTGGCTGCTTCTTTTCTGCTTATTAAGGTGCCCTTTCTTGGCTATTTTGTCCCTTTGCCTCACAAGATCAGTTCAGATGTTCCTGTAGAAAGGCAGATGTCAGCCTGTCCCAGACTGAGTTCCCACTAGGAGGCCATGGCACTGCAACTGAGGGCTCCATCACTGGGGTCCTTCTCCCCTCCAGCTCGTAAGGGATACTGCAGAAGAAATCCACTGCAGCCAGGAGTCCATGGACAGGAAGTGACTTTTCCATGTAAACAAGTGAATTCATCTCAGGAATTATCCATGTAAAGGGAAGCCTTTCTAGGAGTCTCATTCTGTGTGGATTTAAAAGTCTCAATAGTTCATTGTTAAAATAGTTAACCCAACCTGTGTTTTACTCTTAAAGAGCAGGAACATCTAGTCTACTATGCTCTTTGCAAGAGCTATGAGAGAGCAGTTCTTTAATAGTACTTGAACCCTCTTCAGATATTTTACCTGCTACCCATATTTCTGTGGATCCTTAGATCTAAGCCTCTAATGTTTCTCATTTATTCCTAAGTAGAATCAACCTAGATCGTAATAGAGGAAAAGTATACCATCTTCTGGAATCTCTGAAAGCTCTACTTTTTGGACCATCTTTTCTTACACTCCCAGTGCTAAAGTCTGTTATTCTATTGCTCCAGATTTGCTCTTCCTTTATGAAGTTTATGCTCTACCAGTTTTTCTGTCCCTTCACACCCTACCCCACCCTTAGTGAGAGGTCAGGAGGAGAGCTAATGAAAGTGCAGATACTTCACCTCTTCAACTGTCATTTTCTTCATCTGTAATGAAGAGATACAGTGGAAGCTGGCATGTCCAACATGGAGAGGACTGTTTCTGGAAATAAATGAACTCTTGTGAGGCAAAGGGACAGAATAGTTAAGAAAAAGTTGAGGAATCATTAAATAATTTAAACTGTATGTCCATGGCTATATATAAAAATTTAATCTAAGATATAACTATTTGTGGAGCCTGTCTGCATTTTTTTGAAAATTGATACCAGGAATATCATGTATTATATAGGGTGGGGCAAAAGTGGGTTTGCAGTTGTTCATATGGAAAATAATACAATAATTAATAAATAATAATACAGAAAAACTCTGTGTTTCATGTACTTACAACTGCAAACCTACTTTTGCCCTGCCCTGTACTTGTATTGTCCCTATAACTAAATTTTTTCTATTGTTTAGGGACAAGAAAATTAATCTATGATGATGAAATAATGATAGCGATAACAACAATGAAAACCAATACTTACAACAGTTTCTCTGCATCCTTACTGTTTTAAGTATTTCATATATTAGTTTATTTAATCCTTACAAGATCTGTATGAGGAAGATAAAGTAGATACTATATGTCCCATTTTATTGATGGGAAAACTGAGGCACGTGAGAGGTTATATGACTTTTCTAAGGTCACATTATTTCTTAAAATGAATCAAAGTGTGCAGCTATTTATTTATTTATTTTTTTATTGCTTTGAGTACCAGGAAACTTAAAGCCAACTTTTTTCTTTTTTCTTTTTTTGCGGGCACAGCCCTGGTAGTTGGTCTAAGCATTTTAAAATGTAAATATTTCCCTTCGTATCCCTTTTAATGAATTGATTTTTATTTCTTTTCATCCATGAGTTTTTGTCATTTCTTAAAAAATTGTATCACTATTTTCTTTAGTAAATGGCTCATTTCTTTTGGGCAAGTAGACAGTCTATACAATTTTGATTAAATAAAATATTGACATATGACCCAGGACAAACTAATCTGTTAGCATTCATTATGAAATTAGCAAATGGTGTATTCACCAAGTCTCCGGGGACATGGAAGCATGGGAGCAGTGGCCTGGTTAACATAGGAAAGGTCTGGATCGGGGGCGAGTCCTAGAGGAAGCCTGGCTCTGGGAGGTAGAAGGGGTGACGAGGAGAAAGGTGATATCTTGCTACTCAAGACAAATCTTGCTTCTTGGTTTGGGGATACTTGAACCTCCTGGCTGAAAGGTGTGGTTGGCCTTCATGCCCTTTTACAAAGCCTTGTGCTTCCTATTTCCGTTTGTGTCTCCAGGAATGACACTCTCTTCTCCATTACATTTCAGCTCGTTTTTTACTCATCTCTACATTTAAGCACACAGAGGAGTGTTGGTGGTCATTTAAAAACAAAACAAAAGCAAGTACTTTTTTCTCCTCCTCCCCCTCTACCTCTATAAGAATACCTTCAAAACTTCCATATTGAAATGGCCCTGCAAATTTATTTAAGATGCTGAGTTTTAATGCCATCTTAGGGGTAACACAACCAGTAGCCTTTTTGTATAAGGAAGGAAACAGCTTCTGTAAACATTTAATAGAGAAGTAGAGATTAAAGACAACTCCATAAATATACATGCTTTTAAAATACTGACTGATTTATTGAGACAGCCAGCATTTCTTATCAGGAATGGAAAAATAATTTGATTTTTTTAAAACACTTCATTTTAAAAGCCAGGTATGGACTCCAGTATGAGATATTTTGTTGTTGGTTTTTTCACATTCTCTGAGTGATGGAGCAGATGTAATGCTCTCACTTTACTCTGAACAACAAATTCAAAGAAGTCAGGGAAATCACAGGATAATCATATTGATAGAAGATGATTGGCCATGCGATCAGCAAAGGCATTCATTCTGTCTCGTTCTTCGGAAGATATGATTGACCAATTTTGATAACCTAGTTTGTAGATTACTGTAACTGCTATTTCTTGAGAATTATTTTTGAACTCCATCAGTTCACAATATAGGAATACCTATTTAGAAAAGTAAAACTCCTGCTGCTCTGGAAGTAGGATTTGACATCCGTCAAGGTAGTGTTATGAACCCTGGTTGATTTATGAAGTCATCCATTACTTTATCTACCTTTGTTCAAAAAGCAGTGTACATATTTTTCCAGACCACTTGAACACAGAGAGCCTACAATGCCATTCAGGAGTGACATTCATTATCATAAATTGATTGTCTTTTAGCATAGCTTTAAAAGTATAAAGATGTTTTTGTGCCATTTTCCCCTACATCATAGTTCAAAATCCGTCTTCTCAACCGTGCATTAAATGTCAGTGTCAATAGCTTATAGACTTAGAATGTAAAGTAGGAAAACACAACACCTGTGAGTGGGCTGGAGCGGAGGACCAGCGTGAAGTAACCACAAGTAAAGTTGTCTTTTAGTAACAGGTTACTAAGTGATAAATTGGTCATACAGAGAGGCTAATCTCATTAACAAAATTACTTCAATAAAACTACATTTCTCTAGAAAATTCTGGACATAGGGTTGCATTCATATTTTTAGATTAACTTCCCAGGTGATTTTTTTGTTGTTGTTGTAACTTGATATGCTTTTTCTCTTAATCTGTTTTTAAAAAGATTTTTATTGATTTTTAGAGAGAGAGGAAGGAAGTGGGAGAAAGAGAAACATTGATGTGAAAGCACAACATCAATAGGCTGCTTCCTGTACACCCCCAAGTGGGGATCGAGCCCACAACCAGGCAGGGCATATGCCCTGACCAGAATCTAACCAACAACCTTTTGGTGCACGGGAAGACGCCCAACCAACTGAGCCATGTCAGCCAGGGCTAGGTGATTCGTATGCTTGCCAAGTTTTTAATGCTATGATTCTAGAATGTAATAGTTTATACTCTATATTCTTAGGCTTTAGCTGTGTCCATAGAACATTGATCTGTGTGGATACAACCAACATGTCAATTGCAGTTTTTGCTTGTTTTGTTTTTTGAACATAGGAACTGGTTCTAAAGTGTGGAATAGCTTATCAGAAAGATGCTTTCAAACTGTTTTGAAAATTTTCTATAGAGAAAGCCTAAGGTTGATTAGGAAGACATGAGGGCCAGGAAGCCTTCTTGGTCTAGAACTATTCTCTTGAGTCCCTGGCCTTCTTGGTCTAGAACTATTCTCTTGAGTCCCTGGCACAGAATAAATATTTATTGATTGAACAGAAATCTAATTAGGGAGAGCAATAAATATTAACAGAAAAATATTGTAGGCAAATTGTAATGTGCCCTGACCAGTGTGGCTTAGTTGGTTGGGCATTGTCCTGTGCACAGAAAGGTTGTGGGTTTGATTTCTGGTCAGGACACATGCCCATGTTGTGGGCCCAATCACTGGTAGGGAGCATGCAGGAGGCAGTCGATCAGTGTTCAGTATCACATTGATGTTTCTCTCCCACTCCCTTATTCATTTTTTTTTTTAAATAAAAGGAATGAATAAATTATAATGTGAAAAATATAAAATAAAAATTGGTTTTGCAGGGAGAACCAGGGAAGGAAAACTTTCTATTTAATAACCTTCCATGACCTTATTTAACACCATAATTTAATAAACAATATTTTAGCAGAATTTTACATTTTATTTCTAATAGGTAAGAGAAAATTATCAACAAAGATGATAATAAAGTATGCATACAGTTTTTCACATAACTTCTGTTTTTTACCTTATAACATGCTTAGTTTACAAGTACTGTGTGTGTGTGTGTGTGTGTGTGTGTGTGTGTGTGTGTGTATAGATCTCATATGGTTTGGCTCAGCTGTTAGAGTGTTGGCCTGCGGTCCAGAGAGACCTGGGTACGGTTCCCGCTAAGGGCATGTACCTCGGTTGCAGTTTGTCCCCGGCCCTGATTGGGTTGTGTGGGAGGCAGCCACTCGATGTGTTCCTTTCACGTCAATGTTTCTCTCCCTCTCTCTCTCTCTCTCTCTCTCTCTCTCTCTCCCTCCCTCCCTCCCTCCCTCCCGCTCTATCTGAACAAAAAATGGAAAATGTCCACAGGTGAGAATAAAAAATTTAAAAAATCTTATATGGATATATATATCTCACTCTTCCTAAACATTATTAATCAGAAAAAATTTAAATGTATTCAACAACTACATTAAAAATTAATGTTATTGATGAGAATACCTTGCTTCTGTATTTGGTGGTAATATTTTAGCTCTAAGGTATGTATCTTGCTGGTCTATTTTCACGTTCCATGAACTTTCAGCTGTACTACGTAGTGTGATTTTTGGTGACCTGCCAATGAAGTGTAGATAATAGGAGTTGGTATGTCAGATTTCTGTAACCAGAATGGAAGGCGACTAGATGTGTATTCATGGCCTTTCTCTTCAAAACATGTTGCCTTTGGAAGGACTTCTCAGATGCTCCATCTGTCTGTTGTGCAGGACAGCAGGCCACATATGGCATCCTTTCCTTGATCTTTGCCTCAGCAAGACTCTACATCAAATGAAAATGTTTTAGTTAAATTAGAAATTCAGTTGCATATTGTTAATCAGTAGTTGAGTCCATAGAGTTATCATAGTTTTTATTTCTTTGATGGAGATATTATTTTATCTCAGCAAATTCAGGAATTACTTAGGTTTTTTGCCTACTTATATATTTCTGTCATAGTAGCACGCACGCACACACACATACACACCACTTTTAAGTGTTGTTTCTTTTTTTTAAATATCAGATTAGGCAATTAAGATGTATTGATATTTAGATTAGTAATAGACTAGCCTGTGTCTAGCCACTTAATCACATGGTTCCCTTTTATTTTTATTTCTTTTGTTAATCCTCACCCAAGGCTATTCTTCCATTGATTTTAGATAGATAGGGAGGGAGGGAGGAAGAGAGACAGAAACCTTGATGTGGGAGAAACACATCAATTGGTTGACTCCTGCACAACCCAGACCAGGGCTAGGGATTGAACCTGCAACCCAGGTACGTGCCCTTGACCAGGAATCAAACCCATGACCCTTTGATCTGCAGGCTGACATTCTTAACTGCTGAGCTAAACTGGTCAGGGCATATAGCTTCCCTTTTAAACAGTGGTTTTAATAGTTTATTGCAGAGATTGGCAAACTGTGGCCCACAGCCCTACCACTTGCTGCCTGTTTTTGTAAATAAAGTTTTATTGGAACATGGCCCCTCTTATTTGCTTATGTACATGTCTATGGTTTGCACTACAACAGCAGATTGAGTAGTTGTGACGTAAATCTGGCCCACAAAACCAGCAATACACTCTTGGGCCCTTCTCAGGAATAGTTTGCTGACCCTTGGTCTATAAATAACCTAATTTAGTTTGGTGCCCTTGGCTCCTGATTTAAAAAAACATGCAAAATTTTAGTGAGCTTTTGTTGTTTTGGGGTACTTTATGGTCTACACATAGCAAGAATGTCACCTACATTTTTCAAGGAATAATTGTAAAATATTCACCTGGAAATCCAGAGTAATTATGTATCAAGCAGAGGCCATATGTGAAATTTATATAAAATATTTATTTTTTATCTTGTAACATTTGGAAGTTTAACTCTTTTGGGGTGGCTAAGATTATGAATTAGGTTGAATTAAGATTAGGAATTTTTACTATATTAACGATGTTTCCTTAGTTGTCTCGGAGACAGAAGTTTTACTTAAAGAACTGGAGCAAATGCTACAGCAAACTCTAGAACCCACTGCAACATCCGATGAGTCCGGAGAGGAGCATGGAGAGGAAATAAATACAGGAGCAAAGGTAACATTGACAGTTATAAATAACAACTTCAGATGCTTTACATGTCAGAAATTGTTCCTGGATGTAGTTTAAATACATGGAGAACTTTTTTCACTTCTCAAAGTTGAGCCCTTGACTATCATGAGCTGAATAATAAGCTCGTAGCCTGTTGAGAAATCAGAGGAGATCTATCCATCTTTGAAAAAAAGATTGTGTCTCAGCAGTGGAGCTCTTTTTGTTTCAGATCTTTGAGAATGAAGGAAGAGGGAAGGGGCGGGCTGCAGGGAAGGCTGCAGAGGCCGCCTGCCCACTGCCCGCCCCAGGCTCTCCAGTCAGGAGGGGCCAGTCAGAGCCGCTCTGGGGAAATCTGTCCTATCCGTTTCATGCGTAGGGATACCTTCTGCAGGGACAAACTCATTAGTAAACTCATTATTGAAGTACTGGGTCGAATCTTACTTGTAAAACGTTTCACCATTTATATCTAGATTTGTTCTTGTTTTTTTTTTTCTTTTGGCCAACTGTGGTGGGCCGAGAAAGGCCATGTTTTCTTAACTTTATTTAGTACTTATATATGACAACAGAAATTTAAATTGGTTAACACACTGTTCAGCACATTAGCTCTGTATATTTGCAAATAAAATGAGGGTACATGCCCGGGTCATTAATACACAGCAGCAATGTGGCAGGTGTGAGAAAATAGTCATAAGGCAGCCACTTCCGCAAAGCAGTACAGCTGTTCCCTGAGTGGTTAAGAAAAATGGCAGCGAGGAGTCATGTATCCTCATGGTTTCATTCATTCATTTAGAATTCATATAGTGGTTCTGGTGTCAAGAGAGCACAGTGGTTAGCAGCACTGGCTCTGGAATGTAATGCCTGTGTCGCAATCCTGGTCCTGCCACTGAGGACTTGTGTGATATGGCAAAGTTGCTTATCGTGTGCCTCAGAGGATTGTTTTGAGGGTTAAATAGGGCAAACCAAAGTGTTCTGCATGGTAGGTGACACCTAAGGTCAGCTGTTATTTAGCTGAGAAATGGCACTGGCAGGCACTAGAGAGAATAAGTGCAGAGATTTCCTTACTTTATCTTTTTCCCCGCATTCTCACTTTGAGCAACTAACTCAAAGTCCCCTGCCCCACCCCAAAAAAAGACACAAAAAGAAAAAGGTATGTTTGTAAATGGACAAAGTTGTTTACACACTTTGGCAGGCTGCCCAACTGCATGATTTTATGCAGAACTTCAACAAGAATAAAGAAGATTCCTAAACACCTCCTTTATTGAGTTAAAAATCAAGGAAATATATAGAATTTATAGTTCAAGGAGATTAATGTGTTAAAAGAAATTACTTAAAATTAATGTTAAAAACTCTTGCTGAGTTGAAAAGCATGATATTTTCCTTAATCAGCACCAGTGATAGCAACTTGAACCTGAATTTGCAAGGGTTGAAAATGTCATTCTTCCATTTAGAGTTCCTTTTTTCAAAAAACTTGTTTTCTATCTCATCTTTTATAGAACAAGATCTATAGATGGTGACATATATATAATTACCATACAAATTTTTCTTTCCTAGCAAATGTGCGTCTGTTTGAGCCCATGTGGTTCTGCGCAGTGTTTTCAGCCTTGCAGTTCGTCTTTTCAGTCACACAGCCAGGTCGGTTTCACAGCGAGGCCCTGGAGCTTTCAGAGTTGCAGAATTGGCTTCTGTTTTGCCATTATAAGTAGTAACTTGATAAAACAGAAAATTACTTCTGATCTTTATTTCTTAAGGTAAAATACATAGTTTTAATACCTCACCAGCCAAGAGCTTGCTTTTTGTTTTAGATTCTTGTAATATATGCTTTCAAAAGGCATTTAGGAATTGTAAAAATTAACAGTTTTAACTTGCTGGCAGGCAGGTGAGTGCCTCCTGCTGACTGGTTTCTAAGCCGCTCTCCACACTGAGCTTTCTAAGTCTGGCATTCACACCAGGCTCAGGATATTAGGGCCTTGTTCACTTTTAAGTGAGGGGAATAGCAATGAAACCAACTATCAAAGCTAGAGGAGTAATTTCCAGTTTAAAAGTAAAGAAGTGATCACCTCAGGGATTTCCTCCCTCCCTTCCTTCCTTTCTTTCTTTCAGTTAGTAGGAAAAATTAATATTGCTTCCACAGGTAACTTCACTTGAAACGGGAGCTGTGTTTTGTTTTTCGGAAAAAGTGGCCTCTTATAAGCTAATACACCAGAAAAGAACCAAGGGCATGTTCATACCCTAAGCAGATATTGTTTAAGCTATTTCCAAAGTTGTAAATTTGATGATGTTTTCATCATTCACTTTGCATATGAGTTTTCAAGTTGATTTCTCTCAAGCACTTATACTAATGGATGAGAGTAGAAACATGAAAAAAAGCATACACATGGATAATCAGAATTCATTTCTGTTTGTCATTGAAATACTTTATGAGATTATTTTCCTCAGTAGAGTCACCTTCCTAATTATGTTCTTCTTTAGCTAATATTAACACTAGTTGGCATGCCTTGACTTGGCAAGCAGCAGGAGGGAATTAATTTCAGATTTTTATAAAATCCATCTGAATAATTCTCAAATTAGATAATCCATTTACAGATAGAACAGTTTACCTAATAATTACTTGAATTACAATACATTTTTTGATATACAACAATACTTTTCTAATCTACATTTTTTTCTTGAATGTTATGAGAAGTTATTTCTAATGAACCTTAAAGTTATTAATCTCCTAAGTGTATGTATTTTGCATTGTTTTACCAGTGAGCTGTCTAACTGAGCTCGAGAAAACTATCTTTGTGAGCAATGCAAATAAATGCTTATGAGAAGATGACCACAGAAAGTGGGCTAAAACAGTTTTAAGTTGTATTCCCTATAATAATATTTTAAAAAATAAATATGGAAAACTCACAGAATTAAAATGATCACATTTTTCCAAAGCATAAAATTAAAACTAAAAGTGTATAGTGTTGGGGGGACAGGACCTAAACAAGTTATTTTTATACTAACACATTTACTGTACATTATACTATTCATGGGAATCAGTATTTGACCACCACCATAACAGAAAACTTTGTGTAACTGCTGTACTTTGAGGAGTCATGGACTACTTTATGTTTTGTTCAAATAATTGAGCCCAGTCTTCAAGTACATGTATGTAGTTCTGATGAATTATATGGTTATTTTACAGTTGTCTAAATGGCGCCCTGAAGCTTCTGCAAACATTCTGTTTGAAAGCCACTGTGAAGAGGACTATCTTGTAATTGATGGGATAAAATTAAAAGCTGGCGAATGTATTGAAAATATAACTAACAAGTTTAAAGAAATAGATGCTTTGATGTCTGAATTTTAGGGCATTATATAGATTTTCAAAAGTTAATTATGATAAGAAAGTCAAAAATGTAAAATGTTTAGTGAAATAGGTATATATTATACCAAAGTTGATATTTGTATAGACTTTCTACTTTATATTTCGAGAATATACATTGTTTTGAGATCCAATCAAGTGATATCTAAGTTAGTGTTAAAAATTTAGAATGTAAGAAACCCTGATGTGTGTGGATTTTTTACTTGTTTGCCCTAATTTTAATGTGGTTTATGGAACTTACTGCACAATACATGCGTTACAATGATTATTTAAGCCCTTTATTCAAACGTAGCTGTTTAAATGGCTGACAAGTTTATTTTACAGATAATTCAAATCTACTATGTTTAGTGAATGTATATTTGTAGTGGAATTTAGCTACTACAAAATAAAAGGAAATATAAAATTGGTTATATAATAGAGTTGGAGCTTTTGTTAAAAAGCAAAAATGGCAATTGCCTTATTATATTGGAAGTAATTATTTCAACCACAGTGCCCAAATGTGACAGACTAACAGTCTGTTGGGGGGGTCTTTGGAAGATCAGAATCTTGGACTCTTTTCCACAGAATCAGTAAATCTGGAGATGCGTATGGCCAAATGTAATTAAAAATATAGACAGATAAGTTAAACATATTCACTATAAAACAAATCTGTAGAAAAGTACAAAGTACACTGTGCAGTACCACTCTGAGCATCTCATCTGAAGCCCCGTTCCCCAGTGGTCGCCTTAGCGGGTGTTTGTCTAGATCATGTTCTGTGCACATCACATTGTGTGCACATCCATCTCTAGTTCCAGCTCTGGCTCCCCTTCTCTATGCTTGTCTCTCTTCCTGGGGGTAGGGGTAAGGAAAGCAGCATTCCTAGCACATCAAAACAAAAACCAAAGCTTGAGGAGAGAAGAAAAAGCAAGAGAGCACCTGGGACCTACTGTTAGCTGAATTAGCTGGAGTGATGTGAGACGGTGAGAAGGTAAGCTACAGCAGGTGAGGAGGGCTGTGTGTACGGGCCTGTAACTGAAGGGACCAAGGGAAGGGTTTTGAACATGGGAATCCCTTTTATAGTTTAGGAAGATCTCATGAGCAGCAGGGTGGATGGAGTAAGAGGAAGTAACCCTAGAGTAAGGGAAACAGTTAGGAGACTACTTTGGGATTTCAGTTACGAAGTTATGAGAGCCTGAAGTATGGTCGTGCTGTGATGGAGAGAATTGGATAGATTCAGGCTAAATTAACACCAATGAATTATTAGGCTTTAGAGATTGGATATAGGGATGAGACAGTAGGAGAAGTCAAGAACGATTCCAAGTTTCTATCATTTACAATACATGCAGATTAGAAATGTAGAACAAATGTCAAGATTGGGCCAAACTGTGACTTCAGAGATTCCAAGCTACTCATACTTTGACAAAGCCTGCACCTTGATACCCCTCTCAAAATGGGAGTGACTAGAATGGACTCTCAACACCTATCTTTAAATTCTACGTGGTATAAAACAGTGAAGATGAAGACTTACTTTTTTATTCCCACTGAATGTACTCAACAGCATTTTATTGTATTTTTATTTTTTTTAATCCTCACCTGAGGATATTTTTCTATTTATCTGCAGATAGAGTGGGAGGGAGATAGAGAGAGAAAAAGAGAGAGACACATCAACCGGTTGCCTCCTGCACAATCCTGACCAGGGCCGGAATCGAACCCACAACTCATTGGTCTGCGGGCCAACACTCTACCACTGAGCCAAACCAGCCAGGGTTACTCCACAGCATTTTAGAAAACTCTCCCTCTTTGTCTTGGTAGCATGATTTTATATGTACAGCCTAAAAGAGGTCTCCAGAAGTAATTAGTCCCACTTTTTGTTACTGCTTAGAATCAACTGTAAAAATGACTACAATTGTATTTAGAAGACTATCAACAATCCAAGTATTTGATATAAACCCTCATCTAGTAGATCAGTTAGATCACTTGCAACTAATTCCTCTTGATGGAACAGCCAGTGGTCATCGGAGTCCGATATCATCTATAGATCAGATACTGGAATATCCAGGTTGAATTCATCTCTGCCATGTTCTGAGTTGTAGAAGTCTGGAGTTTCCACTGAAGACTATACTTGAGCAGCTCAAAGTTCTGAGAATAAATATTTGGGTTCATTCTGTCTTCAGAGGAAACTGTAGCCTCCTTCTAAGAAGAGGCTGGGGAACCTCTATCCATGTGAGAATACAGGCTTTCAAATTTCCAGATAGCACGTACCCAGGGAAAGGGATGAAGGAGCAGTCAGGGCTGAGAATCCTGCCTGGCTGGCAAACCCTCCTTGCTGGTAAATGTCCAGCATTGCGAGTCAGGCCATGGAGCCGAGACGGGGCATAGCAGTAGGGCTGTGGAAACAGAATGCCTGCCTCCAGGTCCTGGTCTGCCATCTGCTAGTGGGGACATCTGAGGGAGTTAGTCAACTTCTCCGAGCCGAGGGTTTTTGTTTGTGTGTGTGTGTGGTTTTTTCCCTCTAGAAAGTGGAGGACACATGGGAAACTATGCAAGTTATGACTCCGATTATTTTTGGCCCAGAGTATTTCTCTTCCGATTGCCCCTGCCATGCCTCTTTTATGCTCATTGAACTAGTGTGCTCCTTTGAGCAGATCCTGAGGTGACACACCTGCTTCTGGGGGGCTGAGACCAAGGACTGTGTGTGATTAGCTGACTTCTAGGTCAGGCCTAGAGGTGGGCAATACCTTACAATTTACATCTAGGATGTCTTTCTAGGTCCAAGAAAAACATCATAGGGAAATTGCATCCACCCACCAAGGGAGGTTAAATTCGAAGTGCTCTGGTTATACCAAGTTTGGTATGTGAGGGATAAGGCAACCTGTCGGCCTTCTGCCCAGGCACTTGGGTTTGAGGAGTAGCTGACTGACCCTCTTTGGAATGAGTTGGGCCAAGCCTGTCTGTCTATAGTCTCCATGAACTTATGGAAGGTCTGGGTCCATTAGAAGCTGTGTCCCCTGTTAGATCAGCAGGCCCTGGAGAGTTAAGCATCTAATCCAGCTCTGTTACCCTATATTCCAGGAAGTGTTGGTCCATTTGCCCCATGCTAGAAGCTGCATTCATGCAGGGATTTCCAGTGGTAAAGAGGCTTAGCGCGCTCTTTATTGGAGGCAGGCTGTGTACTTGTTGCCACCAGTGGGATGAAGAGGGAAATCACCTGTGTACTTGAAAAAGTCTAGTGTGTACAGCCTTGAACTTCCTGGCTCTGCACTAGAGGGTGATGGGCCACAGACCATTTTAATTCATCCACTAATAGACCCAGGCACTACCATAAACTCTGTCATTGGATCTAGAGCTTTTGTGGGAAAAACTGGTGGTTGGTTCTTTCTTGAGGAACCTTTCTTTCATGAACCTGAGGTGATCTGTATAGTGCTTTTGATGGAACAAAACCATTCTGCCATTGAATGCCTCTACCACATAGCTGATAATCATGACTTGACCATTTAATGGGGCTAACAAATGGTAGAGATCTACTCCAGATACTTCCAGCCCAGTAGAACTTAAAAATCCTAGAAATATCCAAATCCTGCTCTATCATTTAGTTCTCTCTATAGGGGCCCTCAGGGGAGATCTAGAAATAGCATAATTAAAGAATACTAAGCACTTCTTTAGGGCTGAGCTCACTCTTGATGCCTTTTATTAGAGTTCTGAAAGAGTTGGTTAGTACAGATAAACTTGGCCGTAAGGTTGAAGTTGCGCATTCTATGTCCACAAATCTAAATGTTAGGATTTTTACACCCACTGATTGGTTGCATGGTATAAGCATTCACACTGCATAATCAAAGTAAAGGGAGGAGGAGAGAGAAAACATTTTCCAAGAAAAACATTGAAAGAATGTATAGTTTGCTTCTAAATGCATCTAGGAAGGTGCTACAACAAAGAGAGATGCTTACGAAACAAAACAAGAAAACCCCCAAAACACAGTTTGCAAGCAGTTCAGAAGTTGCCGGGTTAGAAAATAATACTTCTATCTTTAGGCTCTCTAGCCAGAAAAAGATTCTCAAATGAAGCTATAGCCTGGGGACAAAGACTAAGTGCAGGGCATGCTTGTTGAAATTATAGCAGGAGAGACAACGACCAAATCCAGGTGGCTTGTGGGAAAACATGGCCTCATGGTAAAGACTCAGTCGGGTGTGGCTATAACTGCAAAATTTTACAAAGGGACTTCTAGTGATCTTTCAGTGGAACAAAACCTATAAAGCTCAGAGGCATGGTACCACATACACCTGATGTGCCCAAAGTGTTTGTAATTAAATATGGAGACAGAAATGTGGTTTTGACACATGGAATGAACTAGTATAGTAAAGTAGTATGAGCTAGATAGAAAATCCACTAAGTTGCAGAGAAGGTGATATTGCCAAAGTACTACCAGCCTGAACTAAAAGAGATGGAAACTCTGTGAGGGAGGAAAAAAGATCTCTGAGCCCCTGATTTTCTAGAGGTAGGAAACAGGCTTGGGCAACTTCTTAGCAACCAAAAAAAAAAAAGTATAAATTTCATTGTCCTCATTAGAAACAAATGAGGAAGATGATGGGAAAGTATGCCTCAGAAGACAGAGCCAGAAACTGGAGAAAACTTATGTACTGGGATCTTTCCCCACCCCACCCCCACTCAGCTTGCCTCCCCTTCCCCTAGGACCAGAACTAAGGTCTAATCAAGAAACATTTTCTGCTCCCACAGCAGGGGAACTTGGCTGATCTGCCTAGAGGGATTTCAGAACTGCTGAGGACTGTTTCATCCCTTTGAATGGGGGTGTTTATTGTGATTATCCTGTCCCTGTTGTATCATTGCACATCATATGAGTATGGGCAAGGGATAGGCCAGTAATTTGTCTTTTTAGTTCATAGATCCAATCCACATCGGTTCCAGATGTAGATGCTGAAGTCCTAAGTGTGCCTGATACTGCGGTTGGGTGAAGACTTCTGAGCGTCCTTTGTTGGGAATGGAGATGTGTCCTGGTGGCGGGAAGT